ACTTTTTTTTTTTTTTATTACTATATTATAAGTTATAAAATTTAAAAATATGCTAAAAAAATTATTTTTTAATAAAAGTATTTGTAAAATAAAAATTATTTTTTGTTAAACATTATAATTATAGTAATTTAATATAGGAAAAAACATTTTTACGCGGGTGCGTAGCAACGCGCCCCCTTTTGGTAATTTTCTCATAGTAAATATGTCGATCATTTATTATCACGTGACATCGTTAAATTTTCTGATGTTTGAATAAACGTCGCATAAACTTTATGTACATATTATAAAGCTTTCAAAAGACACGTACTATGCGTATTTTTGCTTGCCCTACAACTTTACTTTAAGACTAAAGTATGGTTTGAATGGTGTTTTTGACTTTTATATACTTATGAGATATTATAAAGGGTGCGTTGCAATGCACCTGCATATAAAATTTAAACCATTTAATATATTATAAATTTTTTTGTTAAGTAAGGTTTTTAAAGACAGAAATTTTATTTTACAAGAAAAAACGAGATTAACATTGATAACATAATTATTAATAAAATGAAATAAAAATAAAATAGAGATTAATTTTGAGGTAATGCTAAAGTTAGTAAACTATTTTTATCATAGGTAGGGTTACTGCTTTGTGAAAAGGGAATACTATATGCAATTCTAGACAGTAGCCCTGTTTACTTCCATTTGATTTTTTTCAAAATTTTTAAAAATTGGAACAACAACTGAAACAACAGATTAAGAAAATTGATAATCTGTGTATTCCGAAATTTTAAAATGCAATACAGCTTTAACATGATCGGTTGAAAATAAAAAGAAAAAATTGAATATGATTTTATACTCAATTTTAATTTGCTAAAATTAATTACACTAGAATCGGATAAGCAGGGCTAGTATAAATATTTATAGTACATGACTTTGGTTAACTAAAATTTTCAATACCAATGCTATATTTGAGCAAGCTGAGTAATTTCTATTAATTTGCTACATTTATACAAAACCATGGATTATATAATTGTACAGTAGTATATATTTTACACAAAATAATTAGTGATTTATAAAAATTTTATGCAATTATTTCTATTTTTGTTTAATAAACAGAGATTAACTGAAGATAATATTAACTAGGAAAGACTACTTCTTTATGCTCATATATAAATCATGAAAATTTAAACAGTAGATAATATTTGTAATAATTTTGAATTTTTTGAAATAAACTAAAATTGTTCACATTTAAAAATAGTATTATAATAACTATAGCAGGATAAAAAGAGATCATCACACAAACCACAAGTCTGGTGATAATTTCAAGGATAGAACAACATCCAATCCATTGGAACGAGTTTGAACCAAAAAAAGCTTAACTTACTATTTTTATCAAATTATTAAATTAATTTGGCAATGTACGTAGATCTATGCTAAAAGCCCAAAAGATGCTTATTTCCAAAAAAAGCCTATGATCGAAAAGGAACAAAAAACAGGCGCACCTGCCGCAATCTGCTGCACCTGCCGCAATTAGGCGCCTAAAAACAGGCGCATCTGCTGCAATCAGGAGCAACTGCCGCACTTAGGCGCCTCAGGCGCCTAAAACCAGGCGCATCCTGCGCATCAGGCGCCTAAAAACTATGTGCACCTGCCGCACTCAGGCGCCTAAAAATAGGTGTACCTGCCGCACTTAGCGCATCAGGCGCCTAAAAACAGGCGCACCTGCCGCAAAATGCGGCACACTTTTGACCAGAGTTGCTTGCCATAAAAATCATCCAAAAGATCAAAAAAATCTCTTAATAAGGAAAAGTCCTGCATATCAATAAGACAATTATTATTGATGACGAAAAAGATGATAATCTAACTGAAATTAGTGCGATTGAAATTGAAGAACGGAAGGTTTCACTAGAAGAAAGTTAGCTAAAGCTCAAACAATATGAAATTGATTTAAAATACAAAGAACTACAAATAAAAAAAATGGAAATGGAGATAATAATAATAAGTGATATTTGCTTAGATTTATTTTTTAGTATGTACAGAATAACTAATTCATTTTTGCTTAGATTTATTCTTTAGCATGTACAGCATAATTATTTTCTAGATAGTAATGTTTGCATATTGATATATATTAAATAAATATAATAAATATTAATTGTAAACAATTTTAATTTTAAGCGTTAAAAAAATTTAAGTAAGTACGATTTGTTTAAGTTTATACTGTATAACTAAAGTTGCAGGTGCGTTTTTTAAATAAATAGGATGGTACCGTACTGTACCTACAACATTGATAATATTAATATATATACAAACAGTACGGTATGATCATTAAAAAACATTAGTACCTGCATAAATCTGAACGTACCGTAATCAAATGAGTAGATCGACTAGATCGTACCATAACCATTTAGGTAATATAAGAAATATAATATTCTGGGAGCATCCATCAATAATGAAAGGAAGTGATGGAAAGATTTTGCATTTCTCGTTTCCAATTAGCGGATCTTTTTGAGCTTGCAAAAAAGAGAATTTCTTTTTAGTGGTTTCTATTTATTAATTAAAAAATTTATGGTTTAAGTAAACTGTAAAAGGTATAGTAAAAGTAAAATATTTGATGATTATCCGTTATTAATAATTTTGCATACAGTTATAAAAGGTTGGTACTTGGTAAGACCTTTATTTTACGATTTTCTAACTTTTATTCTGGCTATCTTTGACGAACAAATTTTAACATTCTATATAGTGCAGCACTGCAGCAAGTAGGATCATGCTGCTCTTAGTTATACTGACTTATAGAATAATTCTTTCAATTTTTGTCAAATATCAATTAATACAGTCCCAGAAATAATATATATAGGGGTCAGGTGACGAAAAATTTTTTTACTATGAGCAGACTTTTTATTTGACCTGATATTGTTCAGACATTAAGTTTACATGATTTATTTCTATTGTGAGAATCTTGAATGATGATGACGCATTTGTGTTCCCTACCCCTACATATATTTTTCTGGGTCCTTACTAACGATCATGTGCGTCTTACAAGATTTTACTATTTGTTCCACATACGCTAATTATTTTGTGACACATATATAGTGGTTAACTAATTTGTATAAGATGTGAGTTTAACTCAAACCTATTCTATATTCATTTCTTTCATAAGAAACGCAAGGAAAATGAGTACCCAAATCCTTACTGAAAAAGTTGACCTTGAGAATAATCTTAATGAGCATATTTCAATTAAAGATAAAATTTCTCAAAATTTTTCTGAAACAACCATTCATGCCATCTCTGTTGATTACGATGAATCTTCCTCAATTAATCAATCTGTGCTTGAATGTACAATGACTTCTCATGGATTTGCTGCTGCAATTCTTCATGCTTACAGCAATCACCAACATTTACGTTTAACACCCGATGATATTTGGTTAACTATTGCACAAGGAGTTAGTCATCATATTAATTATAACGCAGAAAAATTTCGTTCTCGCTTTGTTGATCACGAAGGTAAAAAACAGATTTCTGTTTATGTCGGTGACATTTTGTATAGTGAAAATACTAGTCTCAAAGGTGATTGGCCCGAAGTAGTAAATAGGTTGGTCGTGAAAACCGATCAAGCTGTAGAAAAAATTGATATAAAATCTCTTTTAGAATGTGATTTTACAACTACAACAAAAACTTCTCTTACTGCTAGTCGTATTGTTCTTTTAGATATGGTTAAGGCTTATTTTACATATAAACTTCGTACAAGATGTGGAATTCCTAAAGTTACTCTTGAAGGTACTTTAGAAGATTGGATAAAGTTACAAGAGAAAGTCATTCAATTACGTCAATTAGATTTAGATATGGATTTTTGGTTAGATAGATTGGACCCCGTTATATGGAAATTAGTAGAAACTTATAAAGGTGAAGTTGACCAAGAATTTTGGGCAACAATCGCCTCAAGACAACGATTTGGTTCGGGTTTTAGTGGTGATATTAGTGGGTGGATGGCGGCTTTTTATCCTTATAAAAAAAATGGAACAAAAATAGGACATAATTCACTTGTACCATCTAGTATCCCTAGTGGAAATGTTGCAGTTCCATTTACGACTGATACTGAACTTAAATTAAAATTTGTTGCAGGATTTTTAGGTGCGCAACAAAATGCTTTTGAAAACTCTAATGAATTAGTTGTTTCACCAATTATTGGTTGGTTTATTATTGATGATATAATTACAGCAGATGAAAAAGATGATGAATAAATTAGAAATGATAAATTATTTATGAGACTGTTAAAACTTTGCCTTTTTTTTTACTTTAAATTATGACAACCAATTTCAATAAAGCTTCTTATATTATTTTTACATCTATCGTGCAATAATGTATGTCAAAGATATTAATCAATGGTTCTTTTATATATTAATAATCTAAATTTGAAAAAAAAATTATTTATTGAATGAAAACAATTAAAAATGAATTATCCTCTATACTCTTCAAATATTAATACGTTAACTTCATCATATTCTTATATTAAAATGTTAAGAATTTTACGATTCGAAATTTAAATTTAAAACTTAACATAACGGTATATATTATAGTGAATGTTTATTATAAAAAAACAACGCGAGCGTTTGAACACTATGTTTACGCACTAATTTTAACTTTTATGAATTATAGTTGGTATCATATAAAAGGTCGTTGTATGGAATTTTTGTTTTACAGCATGAGTTTTGCCACATATTGTTAATACTCATTCTTTGGACATTCACACTTTGCAAACTATCTTTCTTAAGAGTATCCCTCCACTATTAGCTTACGAATACATTAAAATGATAATATAATCAAGTTAATAATAATTTAAGAGAAGAAAAAGAATTGAACAATACAGTAAAGTATTTGTACTAGAAGCTTCAAATTTGTCATCAGTAAAAACAAGTAAAGATGATATTGACATGATGGAGAATGACAAAGACGCGGTTGCCGTAAAGTACTAGTCCGTCCCAATCCGTCAATAATTTTATCTGATGGTTGTAAAGTTCATATCGCCAAGAACTGTTTATAAATATTAGCTTAAAAATGGTGACAAATACAATATATATCGGCAAAATTTAGTAAATTTGTTTGAAGCTTCCTTACTACTCTAAAAAAGAATATAATCGTTTATTAAGAAAATAAGCGAGTCAAAACTCAATCCTGCTAATCCGCATCTTTTATAAACGCATGTTAAACAGAACCCTACCATTATCTTAATTATTTTGGGCGAAAAAAATGATATAATAGGTTAAATGAGACAATAAACAATAAAAACACTAATAGTGTTGCGAAAATCATAAATACAATAAATCATGTGATCCTTAAGTTCTGAAATCTTATTTACTTATTTTCATAGGATTTTTGATATCAGGTGTCAATAACGCGTAGCGCTCTCATAAAAACCCATATGTATAGCTAATAGTAAAAAGTTTTCTATATTTCTGGGTCCTCGTATAGCATTTTAGTTCTGCAAGAGACGAGAAGTTTCCCAAATGAAACAAATTTCCACTTCATTCTATATTCAAAATTTTATTGCTAAACTCTTCTAAATTATGTTGAAAGGTAAATCATAATTATAGATACCTGTCAAATCTCCCTCAAGTAGTTTCCACATAACTATTATTACATCAATGATATTAATATAATCTTTAGCTGGCATCTATACTCATAATACACATCTCATACAATAGCAAATGATATAAAATAAGATCATGAATGGATTGAGAACTGGGAAGTCTTACTATAATTATTTAAATAATTTGTGCATTGGCAAAATCATAAAAAAATATTTTTTTTTATTTTCAGGCACTTAAAAATAATTTAGATGAACTTTATTCGTTTATAATTTCACATCAAGACTTGTTACATGTGAATAAATAAAAAAGCTACATATATTTAATCTTAAGAATTACAATTAAAGGGAGACGTTATATTTTTTCAAAGCTTCAGTCGCCGATTTATAATTTTTTAACGCAGCAATTTTGAGATATTCAATACCTTTTTCTTTATTTTCAGGGACTTGGCGTTTACCTTTATAATAAACATCTCCCAAATTATATATAGCTACAACATTACCATTTTCTGCAGATTTCGTTAAATATTCTAAGAAAATGTCTTTATCATAAGGTAAATCAGGATTCTTAATGAACGCGAAAGCATATCTTAATTGAGCCTCTGCAATACCAGCATCTGCTGCTATTTTAAATAATCTAACGGCCTCTTTTCGATCTTTTTCGACAAAATATCCTTCCCATAGGTAATACCCCTTCCAATAAATTGCTAATTTATTACCGAATTCTGCATGAGCTTTAAAAATGATCCAAGGGAGTTTATAATCTTCTGCTGTTTTCAATTCTCTAGATTTATTGTGATGAAGGTCAAGCCCTTTTTGTAAAGGTAATAATTCAAAATCATCATCTTCATCACCAAGAATTAAATCAGAAAATTCGTCAGTATCGGTTTCACTTTGACTTGTTTGTGAAATTGCCAAAGAAGTAACCGACTCATTTATACTTTTCTCGTATGGATGTCCTTCGAAAGAATGGGTTTTAGCTAATGTTTCAAGAATTTTTGAAACAACTGGATCTTCTGGTCGTCGTTTAGGATCTTGTTGCCATGCTAATTCAATGATATTTTTAAAGCCTTCAATAATATCACTTGGACCATCTTCAAATTCTAAGGTCTCTCGTTTTTCTTCCATAACATGTTTTGATATTTCATTAGGTTTAAGATATTCATACGGAATTCTGTTAAAAGAGAGTTCCCAAAGAAACATTCCAAAACTGTACATTTCACATTTATAAGTATACGGTACGTATTTTTTTGATCCAAAACTTTCAATCTTTTCTGGAGCCATCCAACGAATTACATCGATAATATCTGTTAATTCATGAGATTCATCTTCTATTCCACGACTGAGATCGAAATTAGTTATTTTACATTTATATCCATTATCTGTTACCTATAAAAAAAAAAAAATTAAAATGTCAATGAAAAGTAAGTAATATGGATAATTACTAGTGAATTATGCGAAAACTGACCAATATATTTTCCGCTTTTATATTATGATGTAAAATGCCTAAAATAATGATGATATTTAATTCTAAAACTTTTAAATATTAAATAAATACAAATATTAAAATGGGTAAAAATGTACCAATAACGTGAAGGAAACCAAGACCTCGAGAAACATCCCTTGCTATGTATAATTTAGCCTGCCAAGTAAGTGTTATTTTTTTTTTTCCTTCGTAAACATCCTTTAAATTTCCTAATTCAGCCCACTCGAAAATCATACAATTTCCAATATCCAATTTTGAAATTCCAAAGAATCTAATTATATGAGGACATTCATGTAATTGATTCCAAATAGCTAAAGTTCCACGAACTCTCTTTGAATCAGGACTATCTTCATCAATAGAAGTATTGATTTTTTTACAAGCCACATCAAGAGTTTTATATTTCATGAGTTTAACATTACCATGATAATCAGTTAAATCGTGCGGTGTAATATCTCTTGGATCAATTCGTGGTGGTTCAAAGAGTAGATTTTTATCACTATTCTTTTCCAAATTTTCAACTTTTGCAGCAAGAACTGTTGTAAGATTATAATTATCAGACATTCCTTTATGAATATTTTGATAGTATTCTTTTAATTCTTGCAAAGTTGTTTTAATTGTACTGTCTTCCTTTTCACGATCAATAACTTGATCAATAGAGATGGCAAGATGTAACGCTTTATAAGCATGATCAAAATCATCTCTAATAACTTCAAATTGACTTTTAACATATGCAGCATTAAAAAATTCTATAAATTTGTTCATTGAGGAAACCTCTTTAACAAAACTTTCAATTTGTATTAATATTTCATTAAAATGAAGAAACGCTTCATAATAACTTTTTTCTTGAAATTGGGCTCCATTATTAATACTTCTTTTTAATAATTTGATTGATGTTACAGCCAATTCTACTCTGTCTGCCATTACTCTACAAATTTCTTTATTGTATTTTGCTAGGTCATAACATTCTATGATCGAATTTGCTAGACCGATTGCTGTATCTAAATATGGTACAAATTTCTGAGCGATTTCCGTTGCGGTTTTAAAAGCTACTTTTGCATTTTCTTTACTACTTTTTTTGAATGATATTTTGTATTTTTTGGATTTTTTATCTGATTCAACTTTACCATTATCAGGTTCAGAAGTTACTTTTAAAGAATTCTTATTAAAAATATCCATTTCGTAAATAGAGTTTGAATTTAGTATAATTAATGTTTTATAAAACTCGTTCCCCTATTTATACTTAAAATTTGTGCAACGAAAAAACGTTACATACTACGCACAATGTTGTTGTGTTACCTACTGTGATATTGTATAAAGAAAAGAAACATGTTTAGAAGGCAGTTGTGTGAAACGTCTCAGTTCTAAATCAAGTAATTTTGGTAGCATTTAAACAAGGATCTTCTATAAAATTTGCTTATTTAACTGACAAATCAGAAAGTGATTATTAACTTTGCATATATTGTATAAATTTATTAAACTAAATATGGATAGAAAAAAAAAAAAGTTACCGTAAGAAGGTTAACCTGTATTCAAATAATTATTCATTATTCTGTCGTACTTTGAATTTCGTAAATCATATTTTTTTACCGTACGTGATAAACATAAAGCATATTAGCATACTATCAGTTTCATACGAGAGTGTCTACTAATCCATATGGAATTACGATCCACCTATGATGTATTTAAAAATTATGTCACAGAATAGTATTAATTTAATTAAATTTATTTCAAGATTATTTCTTTCTTGTGTTTCTTTCTTGAACATTTCAGAAGCATTCATAAAGATTTATCCTTACCCAAGAAGAATATAGTGATTTGTTAAAAAGCACGTGGCCGGAAGGCTCGAAAGCCGACAATAAGATATTTTCTTAGGATGGATTTATCAATTATTACTAAGTTTTTCAGTAAAGAAGCAAAATTTGTCATATGTTCCATGTTGAATTTTACCATATTTTGGTAGGAAGACATTTAAATACAAGAGATGTAGCTAGCAGTTGGTCAGAAATAGATAATGTATATTTGACCTTTAAAGTAAAAGTCTGCATAGTCCTATATTTCTGTACCAATCTGTGATCTGTAACTAGTATCAGAGCTTCGTAGGTTGAATTTTTCACATTATATTAGGTCGACTTAAACCTTTTATTTAATACAATCTGATCAATATATATCAAAAATGAATTTTTTCATTTACAAATTTTATTAAAATTAAATATTTTTTAAATTTTGTATAAGCAAAGAATTACTAACGTTTGTCCTATTGTAGAAGTTAAATGTATTGCACCAAAATGGTTTTCGTTCTTTAATCAGAGCGATCTTTTGCTATCATAATATAGATAATTTAATTATAGAGTACAAAAATAAATAATTCTGTCTAATGACATCGGGTCAGGTATATTGTTATGTAACTCAGAACATATTAATAATGCTCCTCTACGAATTATTGTTTGATTTATGCCTCTGTTCACTTTTATTATTAACATAACCTCTGTACTAATCTTGTTCATTCATTGCACCATTGAAGTCACGCCGTCACAGCTGAACACTAAAATCATCAAATTACTTGGGGACTTGGCTCTTCAAATTGAAACTATCAGGATATTTTTTATTTTGATTTTATATTTATTTATTATTTTTATTTGATTAGTTTCTCATCACAATCATATTCTTTTCTAGTTATTTTTTTTTCGTATTCCTTAGTTCGTATATATATTTTAATAATTAATAATTAGTTAAGTTGTGAAATATATTAAATTCAAACATTGCATTTTATAAAATAATAATATTTGACTAAAATAATTTTACGGGATCCATACAAAATCCCGAATGTCAAAATCCCGAAAATCCTGAACCGGCCAGCATTATGCTTAATGCTGGTCAATTTTTCGGGGGATTTCGTACTATTCGGGATTTTGACATTCGGGTTTTGGACCAGACCCAATTTTACGTAAGCGATGGTCAGGACGTTAATTACCGCATCTTTTGTGTAACGGAACAATCCATGCCGGCTTTATCTAAACTCCCAAACTCCGAGACCTTACACATTACTCCTAATTTAATTAGAAAAAGAATACTTTATCTGCAACTTGAAAAATGAAAAAATCAGATGATCAACCTTCATGTACAAAGTAATTCATTAAAATATAAAATATTTAAATAATAATATAAATGAAACATCAAATTGAACCGCTTTACGACTAAAACTCAGGATTTTGATCGGAGAAGTTTTATCGATTCCTTGCTTGCACCACTTAACTACTTTATATGTTATTGATACATTATTAATACAATCGAAATAGAATGAAATTGAATTAATTACTATACGGTTATAACACAATTTGGATTAGAAGTGTATCATATATTACATCTATTGTGTACTAAATTTATCATAAGATTTCATTATGAACTAAATTAAAAATAAAGAGACTATTTTTGTGATTTATATATATCTGTTACACGAGATTTGAAGTAAATATAAATTCAATTTTGCCATAAAGAAAATATTAAATAAATAAATAAATCTAAAAAAAAATCGAGAGTACAAGTAAATAAAGATTTATAATCATAATTAAACGTCGTATTAATTCTGGTCGAAAAAAATTTTTTTTTTTATGCATATAATTTTCACTTATTATTGGTTTATTGTCTTATCTTGCATGATATTTACATGATATCAATAAGTCTTATCCAGTGTTATCCAGTATTTTATAGATGAATATAAAGTTAAATGAATGCATTAAACCATATTAAAACGTGTTCGGTCGCGGCATTTAATAGTTTTGGCTAGTTTTGATCTCAAAATATCTTATCATTAAAAATCCATTAAAGTTATTATACTGAGGAGACAATACCAAAATTTGATCTATATTAGATATACTATACTATTTATAGATAAAAAGTTTTGATTAGTGATTACATCATTGTTTCTAATAATCTATCCTAAAAATAGACCTCATTAACTGGTAACTGGTCATTATCGTAAAAGAAAAAGATCGAACAGCGAAATCGACACACAGAAAAACTTTTATTTATGCCTACAGCTACAGAGTTAATTTATTTATACAGTACTACGTCAAGCACCAAAATGATTTGTAGAGTCCACATTATGTGTAAATTCACGTAATCGACATGAGGTCTACCATGTGTGTTTCGCAAGATGTACTTAAAAGTATTTCGGGAGAATAAAATTCGCACCTTACCAGATCGTAGTGAATCATTCGTATCACGCGTTTAATAAGGTCAATTTGGCGCCTGAACCTGTAAAAACCGGTAAACTATTTCGAGTCTAAAATTCCAAAAATAATCGAAGATAAATTCGATGAATTTTTTTTTTAAAAAAATATATTTTTATAATCTATATTTACCTTACTACTTACTTTCGGCGTTTTATTTTCTAAAAGATCAAGTTTCATTTCTTGATGGGATTTAAGCTCAATGCTATCACTATGTTACTTGTGACCAAATCAGATAAGTAAAAAATAATAAACCGCGATGGATTTTTTTTTTTTTAAAAAAAATATATTTTTATCTTCTATATTTACCTTACCACTTGATCAAGTTTCATTTCTTGATTTATTAAAGTTTTTTTGGTAAATAAGGGCGAATTCGAATTACACAAATCAATTTCAAGAGAAATTAAATTGCTTGGTGATATGTTTATTAGGTGAAAACATTACATCACAATCTTTTGTGTTTTTGTATAAAAATATCGAAATTTTTCCAACTTTTGTTTTATGCCGCGTCCAACACGTCCAACTTCTCTATGTCCTCTCCCTAAAAAATAAATTAAAAAAAAAACATATATATAAAAAAAAACAAAAAAAAAAAAAAAAAAATAATAAATAGACAAATAAATAGATTTCGTTTTTATTATCGACGTAACATAATAAAAATATGAATATTGTTCAAGAAGTTGAAGTTCTCCAACAGGAAATTGCAAACGGACCTCCATTATTTCCTCCCCCAAACGCAAATGCTGTAGAGTTGTCCGAACAGTTTAGACGGAATGATACCCGCGCAAACAAACCCATAAATGGCCGTACGTTGTTATATCATTTCATTAGAAATCAAACTCAGCAAACATACAGTAGGTATGCTATTGATAAGGTTACTGGAGATTTATGGCGAACTACGACTCGAAATAATAAATTCGCTTATTCTAACCTAAGTGATCAAATAAATTCAATCAACCGCATCTATACGGGTGAATAGTGGCGGTAATTAAATCATTGGACATCGGTCATTTTAAAAAAATTATGAACGTTTAACTAAAAAAATAAGATAATATATGATGGTCATTTTATACGAGATAATATAATTTTTATATTTTCATTTTTGTTTTCTTTTACGAATATTTTCTTCGCTAGTTAAATGTTTTGATAATATTTAATTATATAGAACGTTAGTTACATTTAATCTTTTTAGGAATTGGCAATTTTTGGCATAAAATCTGAATGTGAATTTTTTATTCCTTACTGGTTATGGAATTTTCGGAATTTTCTAGTAAATAAAAAGAATGATAAAGAATAATTTTATACAATGAGTCTTTTTTCGTGTTAGAATTTCCATAATTAAAATTTTATTGCGAAATTTCCCGGGTTGTGGAATCTGAATCAATTTAGCTGTTATACTTATATAAATTTTTTGCTATTTATCTTTTACCTTGAACATACATACCGATTGGGATAATTCAATCCCGAAATTCGATCAATTGGTTGATCAAATTTTCAATCCAGGGTTACCCCTGGGTTTGGTTTTGTAGATCGCATTTTAAAAACACCAAAAATTGATTAGCTTCTTCTCTTTCAATATTTCCCATTTACTTTGTTATTTTTTCATTCTTTATTTAGACAATTGTTTATGTATTCATCAATGAATATCTTTATAAAAATGGACAACTTTCATTAATATGTATGTATAAAAATATTCTTAGTTGAATTACTAAAAATAATTCCTTTTTTTATTAAAAAAAAAAAAAAGAGAGAGAGGGAGAGAAAAACAAAGCACGTCATTATGACGAAAATTTAAAAATAAATAAAAATTTTTTTTTGAAAAACATTGTTATGCGAATATAAATATAGTTGCCAATGATTTTTTTGAAAAAAAATTATAATTAAACTAGAATACTATAAAGTGGCACACTATAATTTTACTGTATGTATGTGGCTAAATTCCTACCCAATTGGAATATAACACAAATTATTTTTGTAAATAAAGAATAGTAAGTACAAAATATATAAATTTAATACAAATTTGGTACATAGGGATTGTTTGTAAATTATTTAGATAATTTTCGTGAGTGTAAAATTACTTTTATTTAAACTAAACTTAAACTAACAAAATTATTCTCTTATTTAGAAAAGTTATTTGTCATTTAGTTATAATTTTAGTTGATAAGTTGAAATTATCGAAAATTTCTTTTAATAACCCTATAAAAATTTTATCCGTACTATAATTTCTGTAAAAACTCCGTGAATATGATGAAAAAACATGAAATAAAAAAAAAACATGGTAATTTTTTTTATAGAGATATATTTATTGCATACTGTTTTTTTTCTTATTTCTCCACTTTGCATCAATTTGCTTTAAGTTAATAAATGATATCTCACAGAATATTTGTTTTTATTTATATTTATGATTTGGTAGATTCATCTGTTAGATTCATCTGTTTATACAAACCTATTTATTTATTTTTATTTTTGATAGGCAATCACGATCTCTAATCTTAAATCACAGTATACTGTAATTATTGATCGGCAACAATTAACAACCTTGCATCGGTAATATGCTTCTATTTTGAGCCTAATATCAGGTAAATATTAATCAACTTCAACAAATTATGTTATTAATCTTTTAAGGATGATTTAAATCGCAAATATTTACTAATAATGAATAAAAACTTCGTTAGAATTCATGATAAGATGGAATCTTGGTCAGTAACGCGCTCTTAATCTGAAACTCTAAATTTGTAAGCAACATATGAACTATGAAATGTCACGCATGTGTAACTTTCATCGTATCTTTTTAATTTAAGGATTAAAGTTAGACAAAGATTCATCAAAGCGTTAAAAAAAATATATTCCTTTATTAATTTATAATAATGAGTAAGACAAAAAGAAAACTTTATAAAAGTTGCGCAATATAAAGCGAACAATATTGATTGATTACTCATTAAATGCAGTTAACTTCATTTTTGCTCCGCATAAATGAAACTGTAACTCGAATGTCATATTGTTCAATTATTTGTAGTCTAATTTGTTCGATCTTTAAGATGAAAGGCTGTTATCCATTCTTCAACAATATTAATACCTGAGCTGTGACTATACAACAGGACTCAATTTATCCAACAAAATTCGTGTCTAAATCCAGCAGACGTAATTGGTTTGTCAAATCTTAGAAATACAACTTTGGGAAGGGTTCCAAATCCAGTAGATAATTATATGCCTTAAAATAACGATGGGTAAGAGAAGTTATTGTTGTTTTAAAAAAAATCACATTATAAAAGAGGTTTGATATCGATTTTTTTTTATAATAGGATCAATTCTCACAACTAATCTTTTACGACTGATATATCTCCAAGAATATGATGCAAAAATACCACCAGGGCAAGAGTAATTATTTCTTTTTTACGTTCATTATTATTGAAAAAAAAGAACAAAAGTTTTTTTGCATTATAATTAATATGATTACTAATTTTCTTGTGCGATACAGCGATAGCAGCCAATTCATGGTTATTCATTATTGTATATTTAAGCACAAATAGATTGATTGTTTGAGTCTTTGAAGTGGTTTCATTATAATCAATTGAGATTGCGTGAATGTTTGTGTAAGTAAAAAATTCTTTAGAATCATCCATCTTTTTATTGAAATATGTTCCTCACGTTCAATTCAGAATTAAGTCTTTTGAGAATTTAGGATACAAAAGAGATTGGAACAGATTATTTGATGAATACGAAGATAATTTATAAGTTGTCATCAATACGACTTTCCTAATTTATGGACTTAAATAGTTTTAACGAAGAAGGACTGTGTGAAGCTACAGTATTTTTTTCTTTCTCTTTAACGGTTCTTCTATTTCAAAAAACATAATGGATCATTTTACCGACAGTCATTTCATCGACAGTTTTGAAATCCTAATCCAATTACTCTAACCTTATCCTAACCCTAATCCTAACCTAATTCCTTACCTAACCTTAATCCTAACCCTAATTTTCTTACCTAACCCTAACTCTAATCCTAAATTCCCTTGTTGGTGAGATGATTGTCGGCGAAACATTTGCCTGCGAGTCGGTGAAACGTCTGTCGGTAATTGTCGGTGAAATGATTGTCGGTGGGACATGGATCAGGAGCTTAAGGAGTTGTTAGTCTGTAGAATCCAAATAGAGCCTCTGAATATGAAAATTTTTTATATAGTGTGAACTCTATCTGAAAAATTGCCCAAAGTGTACAGCAAAATTTTGCTAAGTCAGGATTTTTTTTTGTATTGTACGACATACGTTTATATTTACCTCGAATTTAATCAAAATATACCCTCCATACCTAATAGAACAGGACCAGTTTATTAGAAAATTCAGGTACTATTTTTTAATAAAGTGGAACTAGATTTTTCTAGATTTTTTTAATTTAAGAAATTCCTGTGCCATTTTTAATTAAACATAACCAGATTCTGGGATTTTTTTAATCCAATTGTTATATAATAATTTTAACTTGGTTGAAAATGTGCAATGAATCCTTCTTTATTACAAGCAAATCTTTTTGTTACAAATTGAATGTACGATAGAATTTTTTTCTTGTAAGACTATCAAGTGTACGATATAAGTGGCTACACCGCCTAAACGTGATCATCTAAAAAGTGTTCTATTCAGGGACGTTAATCCTTTTCGTTTTAGTTTAGACACTTTGTCGATTCTTGACAAGATAAACATTTTTGCTTTCGTCTTATGATACTTATTTTTTTTCGTATTATAATTGTTTTTATAAGGAAAATCACGAAAGACATCAAAACTCAACCTCAACCGCCAATAATTCCAAAGCGTGAGCGTACTCTAAAAGTAACGCGATATCGTTAAATGAATGTCGACAAGCCAAGAGACTCAACTCCTCAATTATAAAATTTGGTTAATATCAAAATTACACCGTGTATAATGTTTGAAATCTTTCTTTTTTTTTTTTTTGTTTAGTTTTTATGTAATGGAATAAAATGGGCAATCTCTTATTTTTTCCTTTAGTCTCGATTTATCAAACCAAGAAAGAATGTCTGGAAATTTAATTAAAAATTGTAAACTTTTAAAACTTTGAGCAGCTAAGTGTAATTTTGATGACTCAATAATATTATTTAACTCTATCATTTATTAAGTCGTTCAGAATCCAATTTAAAATGCAATCTATCACTTTAGTACCGTACCCAATCAAAACTTCCCAATAATTTTTTCAGTGACATTAAAGAGATTGTTGTTAATTTATTAAAACCTTGATTTTAATTTTTATGAATTTATGAATATATAAACCTTAATAATCAGGTATGAAAAATTTATTATACATGGTTGTATGAATTTCTTACAAGGTAAATACTAGTAAGAATTGATTCATACAGTAATCTAATTTATCTAAAATATTTTATTATACACATATACTGAAATCCAATTCCTATCTTCCGTCAAGTTTACTTTCTAAGAAATTGGTTTGCGCAAGGTTCTAAAATTTAATCTTGTTGTAAATCAGATCTAATGATTTAATTATTGATTAATTATTGAATTTATTTGATTACATAGGTTCTTATAAGCGAGTTTATTATTTCGAGTCGTAGTTCGCCATAATTCTCCTGCAACCTTATTAATAACATACTTTCTGTATGTTTGCTGAGTTTGATTTCTAATGAAATAGCATACCAACATACGGCAATTTACGAGTTTTTTTGAACGAGTATTTTTTCGTTTAAACTGTTTGGACAATTCTTCAGCATTATCGTTTGGAGGAGGAAATAATGGAGGTCCGTTTGCAATCTCCTGTCGGAGCATTTCAACTTCTTGAACAATACTCATATGGTTATTACTACTAATATAAATGCTTAATTACTTTAATAGTACATAAAAAGAAGAATTTTTTTTTTCTTTCCCTCATGAAACATTTAAGTCGATCATTTTTATATTAAAAAAGAAGGTGTGATGTACCGTCCAGCACTGCATATAGTACCCCTAGGTCTTATACAAAAAACCTGGTTCAAAAATTGAATAATATTTTGTGAGATACTGGGCACTATATATAGGGTATAAAATATAATTTTTACCAGAATTAAGAAAGTTACCAGAATTAAGGGGGGGTACTACTAATTGGGGTAAAATTTTTGTATCTAGTAAAATACCCGAGTCTTATAAAGTGGGGTACGCTCAAAGGGGGATACTATATGCAGTGCTAGACGGTAATGCTTTTGCTCCAATAATATATCGCCAAGAAATCTTCTCAAGTATATAAAATTTTTTTTTTTAAACTACACGCATACTTGACTAGGCTATTACTGGTTTTCAGGAATTTAACTGGGCGTCTATTAGCTAATAATTAAACATTTTTTTTTTTTTATACAATCGCCTTCGTGGTTAAATTTTTTCTCTTATAAAATGTGCCCAGTTTAAGGCTTTGTTATAAATCAAGTAATTTATTTTTAGACATTCATGAAAATCAAATAAAATGTTTCATGCTAAAAATAATTCGTCTGATCGAAGATCGATAAATCAGTATTCAGTAGTAGTATTCTTAAAGAAAATACTAGTTTTAACAAGCCTAGCCAAAATTAATATTATTATATTCATTATTAAGGAAACTTCATTTGATATGAAATACAAAAAAAAAAAATTTTTATTGTAATAATTAAAAACTTCAAAGGATACATCTCAGGTCGGCAGATCCCAGGAAATAGGAATACATCAATGGTAAACTAGGGATCGGGTTGCGCTTCATAGTTGTAAAAACAGAAGTAACTTACTATTAATTGTGAAACAACTAACCTTCTATATCAACAAGTAAACTATTAAGTTAGAATTATTATGAATGTCATTTGGAGTCTACGATTCTTTAAGATTATAATCCTTTGAGAAAAGCTGTATGTGATGATCAGCGGATCGGGTATGTTGAGGAAATTCGTAATACAATTGGTTTTATGCAGTTTATTAAAATAAACTATCCATAAAGGAAAAATCTTTCTCATTATATCCAATTAGCCGTTCATATTGCAGGAGAAAATGTTTCATATAATTCGAACCAAATTAAAATTTTTTTTTTAAAAAAAAATGTGAAAAAAAAAAGATATAAATATTATTGGTATAGTGATATGAATGTACAGTATCACAAAGCTGATAAGCGATTGACAAATAAAAATAAATAGAACATCGTTTATATGTGCATATATATATATATATTCTTTCTTAACAAATAAGTTCATGCAGGTTAAAGGATTATATTCGCGTGAAATTTGCTTAAAAAGTTCTGTTACACTTAAGGTTCGTGTGTGTGACGATCAGCAATTAATTTCATTTTTATATCCTGGTATAAAAACCGGATTTTTAAAATTTTTTTTTTTTAAATAAAAATACAATTTCAAAAACAAAATAATTTGTTCGTGTCGACCACTTTTCTTTAATAGTTTTTCATTTAGATTCATTTCTTTTTTTTTTTAAAAAAAAAAAAAAAAGAATACTTTATCCGACAGATAACTAATCCCGAACGCCAATATGCATTGAAAATTTCATAATTTTTTTATTAATGAATTGTCTTTTGGAAAACCACTCGGAATCAAGTAAACCCTTAAATTTTAAGATTTTAAAAGTTTACACGACACTTAAAATCATAAGACACATTTCTTTGCATGTTTCACACATGTTTGTACAATTGACATTATTTTGATTTTTTTTAAAAAAAAACTTAGTACAGTATATGCAAATTTTTAAAATAACGATACAAAGATAGCTATTATCATTTATTGTTCCTTTTACAGAATCTCATTAAATCGATTGTCCATAACTGGTGCAATCGTTTGACTAATTTCACGTGACCTTGACTGGAATTATAGCGGGTATTATGGAATTATGAAATATTTTATAAATATTTTTTTCGCGAGGAGATCATTAAAAAATTGCTCATTTCAGGGGTATTTTTTCAAAAACTTTAAACTACATACCCCTGTTTTTTTAACTAACTAACAAAATTCCAAATGCAATAAAATTTATGGGGCCACCCAAAAATCCTGACACCCATAATATCGACAGTCTATAATCCCGACACCAAAATCCCGATAATTGATCGAATCAAAATCATGACAGTCACAGATCCAGCCAAAATCCTGACTGAGATTCGATCAGATGAATTGAGATTAGTTAATTTTTTAATGCAATTATTTCTAATTTTAGAAGATAAGGAATCGTTTAGTAATCTAGTAATATATTGTACATAAAAATAGTTTATATTTTATAATATCATGTGATAACCGCATGTATCACAGAAATCAATATCATAAATTGAGATAAACACATTGCTTTATCATTCTGATAAATGAAAAAAAAAGATTAGCAATTTTATTTATTTATTTTATTAAATATTTTACAATTGATTTCCCATGCCAAAAATTTAAAATATGAAAATTGTTGATCGGATAGCTAAATTTTATTGGTTAAAAGTTTTTGAATTTCAAAATAAAAAATCCGGGCGGCCGGGTCAAACTGTGATATGAAAAAAATTTGCAAACAATTTACATTGGCATTAATAAAATTTACAAATTATATTTTAATTATATTGAATAAATTAAGACCCGTTACTGCGTCACTGCATTTTCAAATGCTTAATGGAAAATTTATATAATTTTTTTTTTTTAAAAAAAAAAAACTTTTGACGGTCAAAGATTGGTGTCGTGATTGTAAACTGTCGATTTTATGGTTGTCAGGATTTTGTGGTAAACCCAAAAATTTATATACCGAGATACAATACGGAATGATTTTTTTGTCAGACATAAAAGAAGTTCTGCATTTTAGCTGCATATGTTGTATCACCGATCTTAAAAGTAAAATGTCCCAATTAACATAGATATTCTTTATCAAATATCAATATACAGTATAGTATTACAAAAGATATGTCAGATAAAAAAAATCGCGTAATAGACAGGAAATCGTCAAGACATCACGTAGTATTTGAATTTTCTTGGCAAATTTTTATATATCAGACGCGAATATTAGAATTTATTACTACAAAATTGTATTGTACATCAAAAAGATTCTTTTTCAATAATTTACTTAAAATTGTTCGTATCGACTTTTTTTAAGATATTACAATTTTTTTTAAAAAAAATAATCTTTAATAATTTATTTGAAAGTTTTCATGGTGTTTTTCTATATAGAAATTCGTTGCAGTAATTTGTAAAATCATAATATACGTTTTCTTGGCATGTTTCAACCACTGAAATGAATTATTTTGTAATTTGATTTAGAAACTGAACATAATAAAATATTTTTATTTTTTACACCGTAATTATAAAAATGTTTATACATATTTAAACCTCTTTACAAAATCTTATTTCTGAAAAGTTGGCATTAAATCTGCTTTCGTAATATTATTGTTCTTTTTTTGCATTCTTTATATTGATGCTAAAAGATTAGAACAAACCCATGAAACCTCTATATCAGATATAACGAAAAAGATAAATTAATGTTAAATAAAATCAATAAAAAACAAAATTGTCCAAGTTAATTTCGTAATATGAAAAACTCAACTCATATGTGCATTTTAAACCAGCTTGTTCATAAGAAATAATGTTCTTAATTATCTCCTTATCGAGAATTTTTATTTATTGCATCATTCGATAGGTCTTAATGAGACGAATCTAATGAGTCTTTTTTCATTTTTTTTTGATCACTACATAACGAGTTATCTTAATTTTCGCATTTTTTTAAATTTTCGAACGTCAAAAAATAAAAATTCCGATCTAAGATATAACCCATCTTCTACTGATTGTATTGGAACGATCTTTAGCTCATTAGAACCGTCTCAGCGAGACGAGTTGAATGACGGTAAGATCATGTCTCTAGCATCGATAGAATAAAATAAAATCAATTATTATTGGACAATGTATCACAAGATAAAAAAGTCAAATATCGCCATGTATATATTTTTTATATTTTTTACAAGTCCCATGCAGATCACGGATATTACAACGACTATATATTAAAGTTACTAACAAAAATTTCAAAATTTTATTATATCATACTAGCTTTATACTAGCTTCTAAATTATTTTTTAAAAATTATCTCAAATTTTTTATTTTATTTTTTTTTTTTGAAAAAATAATTATTCTTAAATTTGTCCGTGTGTCGACCATTTTTCTTTGATAACGATAACGATAAGATGCTTCGTTTAGATCAAATTTTTTTTTTTTCTAAAAAAAAAAGGGAACAAAAATACAAATGACCAATTCTAAACGCTAACATACACTGAATATTTCAAAATGTGATAAAATTTTATAATAATTATTAATTGAAACCTGTCGGAATCAAGGAATGTAAGCTATTGAAAGTTCTCATGACGCTTTTTTCTGTGCAGAAATTCTTTGTAGAAAAATTGTAAAACCATAAGATTCATTTCTTGGCATGTTTCACACATGTTTGTACCATTGGAATAAACTATTTCGTAAGCTTGATTAAAAAAAAAACTTTAATATATGCCAATTTTTAAAATAACGATCCAAAGATAGTTATTTTAATCCCTAGTAGTTATTTGTTCCTTTTGCAGAATTTCATTATCATAAATAATTACACACCATATGATTTTGAAAATCGTGTGTTATTCTTGCATAATTGTTTGATACGCCTAGAACAAACATATTGAACCTCTTTACCTTTCGTCGTTAAAAGATAAAAAGGAAATATTATTGGAAATCACGTGACTTTTGGCCGGAATTATCAATTATCATAGCATTAAATGGTGACTACTGATTTGTCTGATTATATTATAAATGATCACGTGAATTGAAATTGTAGATCGGATACATATTTTTTTATTTTAA